CAAATTGGTGATAATATGAACATATTTGTGCACAGTACTCTGAGCCATTCCAAAAATATACTCTTGACCAACACATCTTTGATATGAACCAGTAGCATAAAACCTTAAGGCACATAAAACCATATTATCAATCAATATTCTCCTAAATTCCTATCTTTGGTGTAGATGTCTATTAATTCGCGAACTAAGATTTTATTAAGGCAAAATAATTCAATAAAACGTTTATCCACAAGAAGAAAAGGATCGCTGTTTCGTCGTAACAAACATCTTTCTCTTATTAAGGCCAAATTTTTTCGTCGACGTTGTCTTTCTAATAAAACTTGGTGAACAATAGGAAGCATTTTTGTTTTTGTTTCTTAAACTTAACCTCAAAATTAAACTACTCTACACTTTCTAAGCAGTCGAGAAATAGCGATCGAATCGAGACGATTATTCAAATGTCATGAATGCATATTAAACATTTCAGTCGATTAATCGAGATCGAATATCCCAAATCGAGTGTCGTGATCCCTCTGCGGACCACGGTATGGCGCTAACTTTCGAATGTGAACTACCTTAGATTTTCTTCCCGCTGACTGCTGAATGCGGTAGATCAGGTCGTTGATTTTCCTTAAGGATGGCGTAGGGGCCTTCCCAGTTTTGTTGCGATTTTTAACAAAGTCCCCTTAAGTGCTTAGGACTGCACAGCCGTACTGGGTCGCCTTTCTCAAATTGTGTCCCTGTGGCACACCTGTCGATTCTAGCTTCTGCTTTATCGCTATTAACTTTCAAACGTTCGTGAACGAATCCGTAGAGCTTTGTCCTGGCATTGCATACATCACATTTTTTATACCAATCCACTACATCCCCTCGGCAATTGATCCAATAAAATCTTCTCCGAACCCGTGCCGGTGTCCTTTTTATACCAAAATGTCCTCCCGAACGGTTGCTATGAAGCTTCTTCAACAAACTTCTGACATGTGATTTCGGCAGTACCAGTTGGTGGGCTACATGTACTTCATCAGGGCTCTCCCACTTCCGGTGGAAGATACAGGAAATCCCACTGAGTCCAGTGCCCTTTAATAGCTCCACTGTATTTGTCAAGTAGATGTGACTTTATTTTTAAGCCATTCTTGGACAACTTTCAAGTCAATGTCTTTCTTCTGTCCCTTTCTCAGGCTTTCAAGGGTGATTTCTTCTTCGTCACCCTCTGGTTTGATAGTGGTTGTCCGAACAGTAACCTTATCAACCGGTTTCTTCTATTCTCCGAGCCCCTTACTGTACCGGCATTCTCGTTCTAAACAAAGTCGCCTGGAGAGAATATCTGCGTTGCTATGGAGACGGCCTCTACGATGCTCTACTTCCTGATCATTTCTAGAAAGCTGGCTTGGTGTTGGTGATTGGCTTCTTCGGGACGCATAACTACTGTGACTATTTCTTGTTCGGATGATTGATCTATGTGACTTTCCAGCCTCATTCCACGATTCTCGATTTCTAGAACGAGCCCTGCTTCTACAGGTTCTCTGAAGGTGCCCGATTCTTCCACTTCCATTTTGGCTGTTCCGCTGCATATTTTGTAGAATATTTACGATTTGCGAGAGGGTAGGTCGGGGAAAAGTATTAGTATTGGCCTCCTTACTTTCCTGAGATGTAATTTCCCTCACTTTTGCTCAAGAAGATCTGGATATGAGTTTCACCGCTTCATATTCCAGTGCCGCAATCAGTTTCTTCCTCAGCTTCTTGTGATGTTGTAGACGAAGGGCTTGCTGAATTTCCACATCTTGTAGTCCATCAATGAATGTCTGTTTGCCGATTTGATCTGGAAAATCTTTGGGTGTCTGTGGATAGGCCAGATGAATCAATCGTTTTATATCGCTCTCGAATTCCAGTAGACTCTCATTATGTTTCTGACAGCGAACCTTTAGCTGGCTTTGGAATACCCGTTTCAAATGCAGCTGGCCATATCTTGTCTCCAACACTTGGACGAAAGATGAACAACTGGGTTCCCCTTGAGGAAGTAACTGTAAAACGGTTGCTACCTGTCCGCGCAGCGACACTATCAATGAAGCCACCATCTCGTTCTTGGCCCAGCCGTTGGCTCTAGCTGCGGCTTCAAATTGGATATATTTCCCATGTCTTTTGGCCGTCAAACGTGGGTAGTTTAAGGATTTTGCTTATATGGTTTTATGTAACTGGGGTTTGAATGTAGTTTGGTTTGACTATAGATGAAGACGAGGTAGTGTTTTCAGCTCCAATGTCGCTTACCGAAGCTTGACTACGAACTCTTTTTTCTAACTAATCCATTTCAGTTCTAATTTGTCTTTTGAACTCTACTCTAGCTTTTTCTTGTTGTTTTAAATTATCTCGTTGTTGTTCTAAATTAGTTTTCAAATGCTCTTGTTGTTGCTATAAAAGATTTATTCTAATTTTGAGCTGACCAACCTCTTGGTTTCCTGGATTTGTAGTAAACCGTTAATAATTTAAATCGCTTCTTTTCTATGCCTCTCCTCCTTCTCGTCTTCTTCGTCCTTTCTGTGCCTTTCCTTTTCCTCCTCTTCTTCCTTCCTACGCCTCTTCTTTTCCTTTTTTTCTTTCTTCATACGCCTTTCCTTGTCCTCTTCTCGCCTTACTCTTTTCTTCTCTTCTTCTTTCCACGCCTTTCCTTTTCCTCTTCTCGCCTTACTCTCTCCTCTTTTATCTTCAAAAAACAATGCTGGTGGGCCTGAAGTATCCATGCCTGCTTCGTACTCAGTGCCATGAACTTTTACTTTGTGTCTCACCCACATACTTTGATTACTATACGAGGCAAGAGAGAAGTCCGACACGCCCAACATAGGGCGCGGCCATTTTGAACCCTGTGACACAGTTTACAGCTAAAGAATCAGATCGCTCACTCTGCGTCGTCACTTTGGATCTCAATGTTTCAGTTTATACACTGTGCAACTCGGATAATACAATATATGATAACCGCCTATAATAAAACAGCAGTCTTCTGCATATCCTGCATTTGTATCCCTGGAGTGGATGTTATTTTGGAACTTTCAACTGGTCCGAGTGAGCTAACTGATTCTTTAGCAATAAAATGTGACTTCAAAATTAATATTCACCACATACTTTGATTTTCTTTTACTATACGGAGAATGGTCGCACTGCGCAGCTTTCTGAGTGCCTTTTAAAAGGAGATAGAAAACTCCGCCATTTTGAACCCTCATTACGTGTTGCCTACATCTTGGCGCAATATTTTTAATAGGTGCGTTTTAATCATCCGCTTCTGCTTCGGAATTGTCGGTTTTCTTGTTTTAATCTGACAGGTTAGAACGACTGAACCGACAATTCCGGAAGCAAAAGCGGATGAATAAAACGCACCTGATATTTTGCTTGCTGCTGTCAGTGTCAGTGAATATTTTTTTTGGAGTCACAGTTTATTGCTAAAGAATCAGTTAGCTCACTCGTACCAGTTGAAAATTCCAAAATAACATCCACTCCAGGGATACAAATTCAGGATACGCAGAAGACTGCTGTTTTATTATAGGCGGTTGTCATATATTGTATTATCTGAGTTGCGCAGTTTATAAACTGGAACATTGAGATAAAAAGTGCCGACGCAGAGTGAGCGATCTGATTCTTTAGCTGTAAACTGTGTCACAGGGTTCAAAATGGCCGCGCCCTATGTTGGGCGTGTCGGACCTCTCCACATACTTTGATTTTCTTTTACTATACGGAGAATGGTCGTACTGCGCAGCTTTCTGAGTGCCTTTTAAAAGGAGATAGAAAACTCCGCCATTTTGAACCCTTATTACGTGTTGCCTACATCTTGGCGCAATCTTTTTAATAGGTGCGTTTTAATCATCCGCTTCTGCTTCGGAATTGTCGGTTTTCTTGTTTTAATCTGACAGGTTAGAACGACTGAACCGACAATTCCGGAAGCAGAAGCGGATGGTTAAAACGCACCTGATATTTTGCTTGCTGCTGTCAGTGTCAGTGAATATTATTTTTGTAGTCACAGTTTACTGCTAAAGAATCAGTTAGGTCACTCGGACCAGTTGAAAGTTCCAAAATAACATCCACTCCAGGGATACAAATTCAGGATACGCAGAAGACTGCTGTTTTATTATAGGCGGTTGTCATATATTGTATTATCCGAGTTGCACAGTGTATAAACTGAAACATTGAGATTAAAAGTGCCGACGTAGAGTGAGCGATCTGATTCTTTAGCTGTAAACTGTGTCACAGGGTTCAAAATGGCCGCGCCCTATGTTGGGCGTGTCGGACCTCTCTCTTGCCTCGTATAGTAATCAAAGTATGTGGACCTCTCTCTTGCCCCGTATAGTAATCAAAGTATGTGATATTCACTGACACTGACAGCAGCAAGCAAAATATCAGGTGCGTTTTATATCATCCGCTTCTGCTTCCGGAATTGTCGGTTTAGTCGTTTTAACCTGTCAGATTAAAACAAGAAAACCGACAATTCCGAAGCAGAAGCGGATAATTAAAACGCACCTATTAAAAATATTGCGCCAAGATGTAGGCAACACGTAATAAGGGTTCAAACTGGCGGAGTTTTCTATCTCCTTTTAAAAGGCACTCAGAAAGCTGCGCAGTGCGACCATTCTCCGTATAGTAAAAGAAACTCATAGTATGTGGTCTCACCGCTGTCACCAATATTACGCTGGTTTTTGATATCTCAATTTATTTCAACTCAACTTTTACAATAACAATACAACTGATACTAATAACGTATAACGTCTATCATAAAACTCCAAACTGAAGTCAGGATCATCGGTTTATATAGCTTGATCTTGCTCGAACCTTCTCGAACTGCTTAGATTTTTTTTTACAAGTAATGACATTTTTAGACATTTCTGGACTATTCTATCTTCTTTTACTCGTACTTTTACTTATGACGACCGCAGCACGCTGCAGGGTGCTGCCTAAATATATATTTAACATCTTTAACCATACTGTCGTTGTTAAATTATTATATTATTAAATAGTTAACTAATTTTGTTTATTAACTTTAGGAATGCAAATCGGAATATATGGAATTACGACTGCAATGCCAACAGTTTGCTGTAGATTTGTTGCATCAATCAAGAAATTCACAGGAATTAGCTATAATTTTAAATCATGACCCGGATAATCCACCTTATGAGGAAGGAGAACATATGAAATTAGCGCGGTTAGAACTGGCTATACAATATAAACAAAAGAAGGTAAACTGCTATGTGGATAATTGTAAATAAAACTAATAGTACGAGATCCGGCTGCGAAATTAGTACATTCATAATGTAGTTGATCGAAATCTAATTTCGACGTACTTCTAAAGCAAGGTGCCAATTAAAAATTGCCCGCTAGTATTTTTAATTAAAATAATAATTGAGTTTTCGGAAAACATTTCGTTTACATCTTACGGAAATAAATCCTACTCCACTTCACAACAATGTAATTGAAAACTTTAAAAAGGTACAGTTGCTGTTGATCGCTTAGCCGCAACCTCGTCGCAGCCAGGTGTAAACAGGTATAACTTTGTCTAATTTTTTCGTTCATGACGTATATTCATTCCAATTGTGCCATATTATAGCTAATTTTTTTCTGTGCTTAATGTAATAAAGCTGCCTATAAAACAAAAACGCAAATAAAAGTTTCCTGCCGTTAAAGATGCTAGGCATTGTAAATAAAGTGACAGAGAGTGAGCGGGTAATGTTACTTGTCCGACAAAGATGTTAAATGCCGGCTGTACGCGCTTTTTAAGCTATTGCGCATGTCTCGATAGATAGGGTTCTCAACTAAGCATCTGAGCTGAGGTGTTTATTATTATCAAACCTCACAGTTTTGGAGCTCGTAATACACATAATTATTTTTATAGTTGTTGTTTTATTAATATTGAAATAATATTACTTTTGTTTATGTAAATCTGCTAATTATTTTGGTTACCTACTGAGTGTCTTAAGAAAATCACTGTTTTGAAGCAAAAAGATAAAGAAGAATTTGAAAGTTTTTGCAAAAGTCAAACTGTAAGTAAAATTTTTTATTTAGTGTATTAATACATGTGACTCTGTCAGACATTAATTAATATTTAGAATATTAAAGAAATTAGAAATGAAAAGTTTATTGCCAGCAACTCAATCGGGTTTCAGAAAAGATCATAGTTGTACTACAGCACTTCTAGACATCACAGATAACTTATTAAAGAATATTGACAATGGTAAAACTTCTGCACTCATCCTCCTGGACTATTCAAAAGCTTTTGACACCATCAATCATGAGATCTTGTTAAGTGTTTTACACTTTTGTGGGTTTTCACCAAAAGCTATTGATCTTCTCAAAAATTATCTTCAAAATAGACGGCAGTACGTAGAAACTAATACTGGCTCATCCAATACTAAAATAATTTCTCGAGGAGTGCCACAAGGTTCCATTTTGGGTCCTATCCTCTTTTCTCTTTATTCGGCTAATATTACCAGTTGTCTAGAACACTGCAAGCCATTTTTGTATGCCGACGATACACAATTGATGTATTCTTTTGACCACTTTGATTTTGAAGGAGCACAAGAATTGATAAATTATGATCTTAATTTACTAGCATCTGAATCAACTAGACACGAACTAACCATTAATCCTTCTAAATCAATCGTGCTCTTCTTTGGAAAGTACCGTCGTCAGATGGAGGAGAGAATCAATATTTCTCTAGCTGGTAACGATATTTCGTATTCGAGAACCGTAAAAAATTTGGGACTAGATCTAGATACTGAATTAAATTTTAAATCGCAAGTGAACAAGTGTTTAAAAAGAGCCTATTCTAACCTTAAAATGTTATATCCTAATCGACATATTTTTCCTGAAAAAACTAAGATTCAGCTCACCGACTCACTAGTGCTTAGCCATTTTAATTACTGCGATAGTGTTTACGGACCTTGCTTAAATAGTACTGAGGAACGCCGAATTCAAAAAGTCCAAAATACCTGTTTGAGGTATGTTTATGGTATTAGAAAGTATGACAGAATATCTCACAAGTTGGCCAGTGCAAAGTGGCTCGATATGAAAAGCAGACGTAAACTCCATGCTGTAACTCTCTTCCATAAAATAATCCTTTTTAAAACTCCCCCATACCTCTACCAAAAGATTACATTCAGAAATGATATACATAATTTAAATGTAAGACATCGTGGCTTGATTTCTCCTCCATTACATCGCACTTCCATCTTCGAGCGATCATTTTCTTTTCAAATATACAATTTATATAATAAAGTTCCCGCAACTATTAAATTATTAAATTTATCAGCCTTTAAAAAGTCGTATAGGAGATTAATTAATTAGACTATAAACCGCTTAGCATTTATGTACTCATTCTCCTTTAAACAAAATATAATTTTGGAATTTGAGACCTGGTGTGTGTCGAGCGAGTGAAATATATATTTTTTATATATTTTTATTTTTATCTCTTACAATTCATACATTGTAACTTATAGGTATAAAAACCCTTGTTTAGTTTCTACGTTTGCCGCCGTCTTCGGATAGTCCTCAAGTAGAGAGGATATAAGTACTTAAAACGATTTTAATATTTTAATACTTTTGTTAACTCTTGGGGCTATCCGGGGTTGGCGACTGGCGAACAAAACCATAACCGAGGGCGTCCACTTTGTATCAGTTTTAACTGTCTGGACGTTCTCTTTTTGTATTTGCGTAATTATTTTTTTTTTATTGATGTAATTCTATTGTACACCGTAAATGCAAAATAAACTATTATTATTATTATTATTATTATTATTAATAAATAAATATACAGTACACTCAGACAATTAAAAAAATCTATACTTTTTTCTAATGAATAATTTTCAATTGTGTATTAATCAATTTTTAATTATAAAAAATTAATTTATGTCTATTACATTAATATTATGAATTATACAGGGTGTTTCAAAAAGGTATGTCATAAATTCATCCTCAGATAGATTACCAAAAAATAAGTGGATTTGGATATATTTACCTATATCAAAAACTGGCTCCCAACAAAGTTACAGGGTGTTAAATTAACATTTAGAAAAACGTTTTTTTTTTATAAAAAGTTTGCTGTTGCGATTTTTTCTTCGAAATTTTTGCCAGTGCTGTAGATTTGAAGGCCCAATATTCTAAGGAGAAAAAAATTTAAAACAACCCCTTTAAAAAAGTTGGGGGTTGGGTACCTTTTAACCCCCCCGTATTTTTTTTACATAAAGAAACTTGCTTTATTGATCCTAAAATCAAAAAGAACTATGAATTTTTAATTTTTTCTTATAGCGAAATGAACTTTGTATCTTTCTTATTTAACGAGCTATTTACAATTTGGAAATCTTTAAAATAAAAAATATTGAGGACTATTTATGTGAATTCTATGTGGTTAAATGCTACTGAGCCAAATTGCATTAAGTTCAGCGCGGAAAATAATGGCTGGTTATTGTTAGATGGTTTTCTTAAACCAACATGGTTTGTAGGAGACGCAACGCCTGCAGAGGTAGACAGTGTCATATTATGTATTCCCCAGGACAAATCTCCAGATGACGAAGAAGACTCTGATACTTTGAGCGACGAAAGCGATAGCTGCGATGAAAGTGATAGTTGCGAGGAATCTGACTTTTCATAAGTGCCAAAAAATATGACCTTTTATGATTCTTTAATTAATTGAACAATTTTTTATGTAACAGCTCTGTTTTTCCTGTATGAAAAGTTTATAATTCTGTAACTCATTGTAATGTAAACTCTGTAACTGTTATTAGTTCCTAACTCATGGCTGTATTAAAAAAATTAATCAAAACAAACATTAGCTCAAACACAGCCTACATAATACAATTTTTTTTTACCTAAATAACCAAGGTTTTATTTTTCATAAATATGCTCTTTTAGTTGTATTTGGAAAATGAATGAGATTTTTTACGTTAAAATAAATGTTTTGTTATGTTATATCATTTTAAATACAAGTCAATGAAAATTAATGAAGCCAAATTTTTTTCAGAGTATTCATCTAAGTTTATTATTTTTTTTTTTTTAGTTTTTATAATTTTATCAGTTTTTATTTTTTGGAATAGTTAAATAAAGTCGTTCTTACTACTACTTAGACCGTTGGTTGAGAACCCTATCTATCGAATCAAGCGCAATAGCTTAAAAAGCGCGTACAGCCGGCATTTAACATCTTTGTCCGACAAGTAGCATTGCCCGCTCACTCTCTGTCACTTTATTTACAATGCCTAGCATCTTTAACGGCAGGAAACTTTTATTTGCGGTTTTTTTTTTATAGGCAGCTTTATTACATTAAGCACAGAAAAAAAATTAGCTATAATACGGCACAATTGGAATGAATATACGTCATGAACGAAAAAATTAGACAAAGTTATACCTGTATACACCTGGCTGCGGCGAGGTTGCGGCTAAGCGATCAACAGCAACTGTACCTTTTTAAAGTTTTCAATTACATTGTTGTGAAGTGGGTAGGATTTATTTCCGTAAGATGTAAACGAAATGTTTCCCGAAAACTCAATTAATATTATTTTAATTAAAAATACTAGCGGGCAATTTTTAATTGGCACCTACTGAAAAGTGGATTCTCCTTGCTATAAAAGTACGTCGAAATTAGATTTCGATCAACTACATTATGAATGAACTAATTTCGCAGCCGGATCTTAGACTATAACGAATTATAAATTGAAAGTCACTTGGATTACACTCATATATATTTAGTATTTTATTTTGAATCTTAATTAAAGAGACCAGAGATGTAAAATTGCACATAGCGCATGTTGTCTATTCCAACCTTAAGGTGATTACAGCACCCCTTATAATTTTCGGACAAACATATCTCAAAAAGTAATTTTTTTTAATGAAAATTTTGGCAAAATAAATTAGGCAATAATATCTAGAATATGCATACATTTTAAAGTTTTAATTCCTTGCAGTTTCCAAGAAAAAAATCAAAGGGCTTTAAATTTTGAAATTTTATAATGAAAATAAATGCATTCCTCAACAGCACTATTTTTAATATAATCCCCAAATTTAAGCTCTTAAGTGCTGCTTTCTGGTGTAACGCGTCTGTAACTATTATATCGTACACTTTCAGTCATCATTCGTTTCTTGCAACGATTTACACCAGTTTACACCACACGATAGCACTTAACGAGACGTTTTAGCCACTAATTTCGGTGAATTTTAAAAAATCATTAACAAGAGATTAAGAGCTTAAATTTGGGGATTATATTAAGAATAGTGCTGTTGAAGAATGCATTTATTTTCATTATGATGTTTTAAAATATAAAACCCTTTGATTTTTTTTCTTGGAAACTGAAAGGAATTAAAACTTTAAAAGATATGTATATTTTAAATATTATTGCTTAATTTAATTTGCCAAAATTTTAATTTTTTAAAAAAATTACTTCTTGAAATATGCTTGTCCGAAAATTATAAGGGGTGCTGTAATCACCGTAAGTTATTCACCAATTAAAAATCATTGTTTCCACGACTCCACCCGAATTGTTCCGACAATTCTATTCTACGCTTATATCCGCGTGAGTGAATCATGACGGACCGCCGTTTTTTTTAATTATTTGTTGGTGTTATTATCAATTTATTATTTATTTAATTTCTAGTTAAAAAAAATGTATATGCAAATAATATAAATGCCAATGTTATGAAAAATAAGAAATTTATTCGTTTTCAAGGAACCTTTGGGCTTCAGATTATTTTCGATTTATCGATTATTTTCGATTTTTCGAATATTTTTAATTTTAAAGGAAATAACAAAAAAATAGGTTATTTGAAAATAATCGATAATTCGGTTATTCTTTTTTTGGAAAATCGATTTATAGTAGAATCGGCTTCTTAATTAATCGATTATTTTCGATTAATCGATTATTTTCGATTAATCGATTATTTTCGTATAATCGATTATTTTCGATAGATATTTAAATATAAAAAAATACGAACAAAAACAGATTATTTAAAATATTCGATAATCGCTTATTATTTTTGAAAATACGTATTTATAGATTAATCGGTTTTTAATTAACCGATTATTTCCAATTTTTCAAAAATAATGGAATAATCGATTTTAAAGGAAATACAAAAAGAAAATAGATTTGTTGAAAAACCGATTTATTGTTTAATCGCATTTTTTAATTAATCGAATATTTTCGATTTTTCAAAGATAATCAAATAATCAATTTTAAAGGAAATACCAAAAAAATAGATTATTTAAAAATAATCGATAATTCTGTTTGTTTTTTAAATCGATTTATCGTAGAATCTTTTTCTTAATTAAACGAATATTTTCGATTAATCGATTATTTTTCAATAATCGATTATTTTTGATATCCAAAGATAATCGAATAATAGATTTTGAAGGAAATACGAAAAAATAGATTATTTTATAATAATCGACTATTTAAAATAATCGATAATTCGGTTATTTTTTTGATAAATCGATTTAAAGGTTAATCGGCTTTTTAATAAATAAATTATTTTTAATTATTCTATTATTTTCGATTTTTTAAAGATTATCGAATAATCTATTTCAAAAGAAATACGAACAAACATAGATTATTTAAAATATTGGATAATTCGTTTATTATTTTTGGAAACACGGATTTATAGGTTAATCAGTTTTTAATGAATCGATTATTTTCGATTTTTCAAAGATAATGGAATAAAAGATTTTAAAGGAAATACAAAAAGAAAATAGATTTATTGAAAAATCGATTTGTTTAATCGCCTCTTTAAATTTTTCAATACACTACTATTCAGTATCGTCTATGGAAACATGCCGATGCATGCAGATCCTCCCCTAGGTTGTCTGGCCGTCTTTTACTGAAATTTGTTACCTACATGAAATGTTTGAAAAATATTTTAAATTTTAGTTTGTGTCACATCCTAACATTCAACAACTATTAGCTGCTATATGGTACGAAGGTGTTCCAGGATTCAGAAGAAAGTCGTCAAAGGATAAATTATTGATTATTGTAAAGACCGCATTATTGTTTCCTTTCTATTGTTTACTATACTACATTGCTCCCGAAACTAAAACTGGAAAATTAATGAGAAAACCGTTTATGAAATTTTTGATACACGCTTCAGCGTACCTCTTCTTTCTCTGTAAGTATATATAGGAATACCCGATTTACTCAATTTTATTTCAACTTATCAAATCGTATGTCTACGTAATGTAATATCACAGCTTATTCTATACCTGCTACTTATCTTGACATAAAATGGAAAATTTGCGCATCGCCTGTCGCGCATCTGACGGAGCAGTTAGATATTCAGTCGGGAATACTTGTAACATCTATTGTCGGAACCATGATTAGTAGTTTGCAGGAGCGCATTCAGTAAATTTTGAAATATATGTCGAAATTGTAACTGTATTAAAAAAAGAATTTAAATTTTTTTTTATTTTTCTAAAATAAATCAGTAGGTATTTATGTATTAAGAAAAGAAAGTAGCACTTTGGCAGTTGAGACAGAAAATTGGCGCGACTGGTTAGCGGAGAGCGGCAATCTGTCGAAACTGCCAAAGAACATTCTGCTGGAATTACACACAAGATGTTTTCTACGATCACACCTAAATTAAATAAATAATTTAATTATTTAGAAATAAGTTTCCATCTTTCGTTATAATATTGAAAGTTTAGTTGACATAAGCCTACTCCTTGAAAAGAAAAAAATGTTTTATGCGGTTAAATATTTATGATTTAATAATTTAATTATTTACGGAAAATACTGTTGGATGATTTAAAATATTAGGAAGTCAATTAAAATATTTTAGATTGGCCTACATATTGTTTAAAAATACCAAATAACTTTGTTTTATTTAATTCAAATGAAAATAGACAAGAGTGTGCCAATAATGTCAAATAATGACAGTTCGAGGAAAACGTTAACTTCCTAGTTACATTTGAACGTGCAAAAGCCTAATTTGGATAGGAATCGTAGAAAAAAGTAATTTTTTTTTTTACTTTTTTGGTAGCCTTTGTAGTAATTTCCATGTTATTACTTTCCATGAATTTAAGAATGTGTTCCTTATTTGTGCTGCTATTGTGAATTTTGTTATATAGGCGAGAATGATAAGGCGCATTGTCCATAACAATAAAAGAATTTGGGGAGAAATTTGACAACAGTTGTTCATTAAACCAATTTTCAAAGAGACTAATGGTCATATCTTCATGGTAGTCAGCCGATGACTGTTTTATATTTTTAGCTGACAACAGAAGAGCATTAGAAATAAAACCCGTTTAGCGTGAGAACAAGGCCCCTTTATAGATCACTTATTACCTTCATCCACCCTACCATATTTAACAAGATCATGTGTGTCGAACCAAGTTTTATGAAGGTATACTATCTCTCTTTTTGATTGGTGGTACTGCTTAACTTTTCGAAAATATTCCTGATGCAATGCTACGATGCGAGATGACTCCATTCTTTTATTAAATTTGTTGTACTTAAAGCCACAATCTATTACGAAATGTGACTAGAGATTTATATTCATAATCGGGATAAGCCCGTAACTTGTTACAAACCATTTCTAAAGTTGGAACCTTGTTTTCTTCATAAAACTTTGTCGGCATTATCAACCTTCTTAAGCTTCTGATTATCTCTTTTTTGTTTTACGAAATGATCAATCACATCTCCTGCTCCAACAACAATATAAATTATAATACGAGGAAGTTTAGTCAGCTCACAAATCTTTTTTAAAATTTCGTTTTGTGAGGACCCACGAATTTCACTTTTCAAGTAAGTGCACAGAAAAAAATTATCATCTACATTTAAGAAAGATTATATTTGTTTAAAATAAAGCAGAGTTTGCTTCAAATAATATTTTTCGATACAATAAGAAATTAAATATTGAGTGTAGTGTAACATAATCTTGTATTTTAAGATTTATTTGATTCAATGTTATAAAAGGATTCGATTGAAAGCATTTAAATTTCAGAACACACACACACACACACACACACACACACACACACACGCACGCATGCACGCACGGACGCAAGCACGCACGCACCCACCCATACACACATACACACACATACACATACATACATACACATACACACACACATACACACACATACACACACACACACCCACACACACACCCACACACACACACACACACACACACACCCACACCCACACACACACACACACACACACACACACACACACACACACACACACACACACACACACACACACACACACACACACACACACACACACACACACACACACACACACACACACACACACACACACACACACACACACACACACACACACACACACACACACACACACACACACACATACACATACACACATACACATACAAACACATACACACACCAAACATACACATACACACACATACACACACATACACACACATACACACACATACACAAACATACACAAACATACACATACACACACATACACACACATACACACACATACACACACATACACACACATACACACACATATACACACACATACACACACATTCACACATTCACATATTCACACACATACACACACACACACATACACACACATACAAACACATACACACACACATACACACACATACACATACACACACATACACACACATACACACAACATACACACCAGTGTTGCCAGAATATATTTTTATAATGTACCAGATTTATCTAAAAAATGTACCAGATTTCATAAAAATGTACTAGATTCTATAAAATTACCAGATTTTTCTAATTATGAAGTTTGATCATTAAAGAGCAAAAAAATGTTTATAGAGAACACGAACACAACAATTTTAAACAATATTTTATCTCTCGACAAATTTGTGACACTATTTTATCTCAACAGCAGTTTTTGAATAAGATTTTAATACCTTTTGATACTCTTTTATCTCTCGAACAGTTTTTATTTTTTTTTATCTCTTGAGCTATTTTGAAACAATACTTTATCTCTCGATAAATTTCTAACAGTATTCTATCTCTCGAGCAATTTTTAATAACTTTTTTATAACCCTCGAGCAATGTTTGTACAAAATGTTTAACACTATTTAATCACTCGAGCAATTTTTAACAGTTTTTTTATCTTTCAAGCTATTTTTGAACAATATTTGATTTCTTGTGCAATTTTTGAGCAACATTTTAACAATTTCTAACACTATTTCATCTCTCGAGCAATTTTTAAAAACTATGGAATTATATTTGACATCAGGGAAAGATTTTGTATTTCAACAATACCTGAACTTAAACAAAAACTTCAAGATATATGGGATTCATTTACACCAGAATTTTGCCAAGGCTTAGTTAATACCATACCGCAAAGAATTTCAGCTGTAATAAAAAATAAAGGTGACGTTACTCAATGGTAAACTTTAAAATTGATTAACGTTTGATTCCAACTATTTGTTTATTTTTTTTTTAATTTTATATTAAATAAATATTTTAATGTTTTCTACATATTTTTTATGATTAAACGATATTAAACATATTGTTCAATGAATAAAAATTGGAAAGTTCATGCAATATTTATATTTTTAATCTTTAAATACGAATTTCCTAAATTTCAATAGGTGGGCCAACTGAAATGGGAAGGGGCTCGTAATTTAAAAATTGGGAAGACAAAAATTCTTTTAGTTTAGAAGAATCTAAATATTTAACTTCAATTTCTAAACAGAATTTCCAAGTATTATATGAATTTTGTGAACCAATAAAACAATATGGTAACTTAAGAAACATTGCTCAAAAAGATTTACTTGCTTTCCTTATTAAACTAAGACATGGATTGTCAGATGAGTTTTCAATCTGATATAAATATACATAAAGAGGCAATATAAAGAGCCAATACTCCAGTCAAAATAAACATTTAATTCGATCGTTATTCATTTCCCTAAATCCTACTTAGACCTACCGTATAACGAAATTTTTTTGGAACTTCCATTTAACTCTCGATAAATTTTTAACAATGTTTTACATCTCGAGCAATGTTTGTACAATATTTTATCTCTCGCGCATTTTCTAATAGTATTTTATCGTTCGAGGAATTTTTAAGCAATGTTTTATCTCTCGAGAAATTTCTAATAGAAGGTATCTCTTGAGACAATTTTGAACAATATTTTATTTCTCGACAAATTTTTCAATTGTATTTTATCCCTCGAGCAATTTTTGAACAAGGGTTTAACATTTTGTAATACTATTTTACCTCGAGCAATTTTTTAACACGATTTTAATAATTTATAATACTATTTAATCTTTCGAAAAATTATTAAATATTTTTATCTCTCATTAAATTTCTAACAGTATTTTTATCCCTAGATCAATTTTTGAACAATATTTTACCCCTCAAGCAATTTCTAATACTATTTTATACTTTGGTCAATTTTTAACACCCTTTTTTACCTCTCGAGCCATTTTTGAACAATATTTGATCTCTCGTGCAATTTTTAAACAATGTTTTATCTCTCGAGAAGTGTCTACTATTTTATCTCTGAAGTAATTTTTAAGAGCTATTTTAATTTCTCTTGCAATTTTTGACCAATATATTTTACACTTCAAATGGAAACATACGCTGAAAAAAGTACTAGATTTTGTTTCGAATGTACTAGAGTACCAGATTCTCAGAGAATGTACTAGATCTAGTACAATTGTACTAGACTGGCAACACTGATACACACACATACACACACATACACACACATACACACACATACACACACATACACACACATACATACACACATATACACAGACATCCCGAAAATAGTCAAAACGGATTCAGGGGACCCCAAAACGTAAAAATCAGTCGAAAACTGGAGGTCAAAAAAATCATGATTTCTTTACTTTCCTTATCTGTATACAGATAGGAAAGTAAAAATGCGGTCAGATTGTCATATTTTCGTTTAACATTCATTATTTTCCTATTCGGCTAGTCGGAGTGTAAATTGCCCAAGTGATTTATAAATTGACGGCCAACACGCGGCCAAATTGTAAAATGTTTAAGATTATCTTCTGCATAACATTCTGGCAGGTAAAATGTTTTAGGCGTTTTGTAATATATGATTTCTTTAAAATTAAGATAATCAACATTTTCAATTACGGGTGTAACAGGTCACAATGTGAATATTTTACAAATTTGTTTTTAATATACAGAACAAATGTAACTGAAGAATAAAAAATGAAATTGAAGAACAAATAAACAATATATTTAAATAAAACTATAAATAATACACTTGCTAAGCTTAAAAGAACCAATAGGCGTATTGTATTTATTATAATATGGACCACTAAGATGACACCCACTGAGGCATTTTCCTTGTGTCTTAAAAGAGAGACATTTATCTGTACAGTATTGAACTGGCATTTTTAAACCCTTGTCTCCTTAGACCTTTAAACCTTAGAAATAGCTTGTCTTAAGGTAATAATAGGTTCTTTCGTTCGCTGTTGGTGCAGTGTCCACCAGTATAAATTACACCAGTTACACCACCTTATTTCCCCTAGTTTACTTCCTCCTTATTCCTTATACACATGTCGAGTGTAATTCACTCCTGCTAAATAGCTGGTGGAGAAAATATCCACCAGTGGACACCACATCGCCGACAGGAAGGTATAGTGGATTTTACACCGGGCCAAATGAAAGGTTTAGTGTGCGTTGGTGTAGTTCATTCCTACACCAGTGGGACGAACGAAAGAACCTAATGATATTTTCTGGTCTGACAAATGGATTTACATAAGTTTGACGTACCAACTGAAGTTCATCCCTAGAAAACCATTGATTTAGGCGACTATGTTCAGTTTTAATCTAATATATTTCATTTCGTACATCATGCTCTCCCCGCCTGCATATCTTTCAATTTAATTTTTGTGATTTGGACCATTTGGTTAGCTACACGTTTTTGCCCTATTGTGCACTGTGTTTTTATTACTATTCTTTATAGCAAAGATTACAGTTTCCTTTAGTTTTATAACTCACTGCATAATAACACATTGTTCTTTATCAGAAAAAGACTATAAATTTAGGTAAGTCAGGAATTTTCATTTATATAGTTGTTATCCGCAAAAACTAAATTGTTCATATCGAAAATCGGCAGTGTTTTACAAGACGACTTACCTGGCCGCGCATTTTATTTCACGATTGTTTTATAGATAAGCTTATTTTTAAACATAATATTGTTACTACAAAATAATATTGTAGGGTTACTTAAAAAATGGATGACGATTCTATATTTTTTACTTTCTACCTACTAAGTCTGGTCAGTTCACACGAGTTCTAACTCAACCAGAAAAACGAGTTAAAAGAAAAAAGAGTCGATTCCTAATAAAATGCAAATAACTTTTAGTCGCTACACAAAAGTTTAAAATGTATCTTCATATTAATTTTTCAGCTCATAATTGACCATAATAATAATATAAGCACATGTTGAAATTTCAAAACTCCGAATAATAAATTTACTCGTATTAAAATGGGATACGGTGAAAGATATATAAAATGTTTGCTATTATCGGTCAATTCATAGATTCTTTTTTATAATAATACAATATGATATTCAGTTCATTTTTTTTTTTTTCACTAAATTTTCAAAGGCTGAAATTTTATGTTAAAATACATTTAGGCAAAGTGAAACCAATTTTTCGTCGTCATATGTACATAATATGGACGATCAATGAACTATATTCATTGGTAGCCAATAATATATTAATATATCTTTCACCCGATACCTTATGATATAAAGAAAAATGAAAAATAAAATTATCTATTTAGATTAATTAATGTTTGGTTTTTAGTACTTCTTATATTGGTGTCGTTAAGAGCGGACGACTTAGTACTGCAACATTTTGGGTCTGATTCGATGAAAGCTTATGTGATAGAAAAATATGAAAGGCAGAGAGGTAATCCTCCTACAATTTTGGAATATGCCATTCTTCTCTACGTTCTAGGTAATAAATTTAAAATCGCATAAATTCGACTGTACAAATTCAGTAGTAGGTAGAACTGGTCACAAAGAAATTAATAGTTCATATAATTTTTTTTCAGCTTTAAAGGCAATTTTTGCCAATATAATCGGTAATAATAACTATTTATGTAACCAGTTACGAAATCCCTTATTATATGTATCAATTAAATCTTTGCAGGATGCGCAGAGCGAGGTCCTGCAAAATGAACGATGACCCCGACAATAACGTGGTCGTGGATGCGTTGTTCATGCCTTTTAACAAAATCTGATTATCTGGTTGACGGTGTCTATCTTCAGGTTTCTGTGAAGGTCACTGATTCTTAAGTACCAAGGGGCATGAACTATAGTCCTCAGTACGTTATTCTGGAAGTGCTGTATTATTTCAGTGTTACTCTCTGTGAAGGTCACTGTTTCTTAAGTACCAAGAGACATGAACTATAATCCTCAGTACTTTATTCTGGAAGAGCTGTATTATTTTAGTGTAACTGTGTAAAGGTCACTGTTTCTTAAGTATCAAGTGGCATAAACTATAATCCTCAGTACTTTCCCAACTAACAAAGTAGCTTTATAATTTTTAGTTTATAAGACTATTATATTTTATTGATATTATATTGCTGTGTCTGGAATGCTAATTTATTGTATTACAGTTGCAGAAATCACCATTTTGTTCTCTGAAACTAAATTGTTATATAAATTAGTTTTTACAATATTCTTACAACAAAATTATAAAATAGTTTTCACGATAACTATAAAATTGTTACGTAAACATTTATACAACTGTTCTATACAATATTTCAGCTTATAAAATAAAATTGCTTTATAGTTATTCTATATTATTGTTCTGGATTACCTTTAGAACTTTTTGGTTATACAAATATAACTGTTTCTTAACCTCATAATAACGCTTTAAAAAATAGTTATATAAATATTAGTGTGAGATAATTCCGCATCAATAGCAATTTGCTTCTGATGAAAACTCTAAAATAACTGTAATATATTGTCGAAATACACTATTACAAATCAGAAAACTGTATAGCAATTATTTTAGTTAAGAATAGTATTATCACTTTAAAAATATTTATAAAAAAAAAATAAAGCAACTACATTTGGTAGTACCTACGCCAGATTATTTTGTATTTTATGTTCGTTCAACTACTTCCCATACCAATTGTATGTGAGTGTATGGTCTGAAAATGTCAGATTTAAATAGTAAAGAAATATAAAAAATAAGTGGTACCTGCTTTTCAGAGAACAGTAAAAAATATTAGTAAAACATTTTGTTAGTTTGTCTAGACACTCAAAAAAAAAACTATCATTCAGCCAGATAATAATTAGGTATGTTCTGAATAATCATGCCCCAATACTAAAAGAAAGCCATATTTTTGGCGATGTCCATGTTAAACTTGCTTATTCTCGTAATATTAAAAATTATGCTTGCTCTATAAAGCTGTAGAAACAAATCTAATCATTTCAATTCTCAAATACTTAAATCGAAAATGATTTAGTAAGGTTATGTTATATTTTGTCATATAGTGCAGCAATATGAAACTATTATACAACAAACCATGATGAACTTGTTTTGTAGAAATGAGTAATACAACTTAATTATTATATTACAGCTGTTTTTACTACAATAATATTTTATAATTATGATTCAGTCTTAAAATAACTTTCTAATACCTCTGAATAGCCGCCATATTTAACAAAAACCTAAGACAGTTTTAAAGCTAAATCTACTATCGGTTTTACTAGTATTTAAGACAAAACCAATGTTAATTAAAGATTTTAATCATTAGTAATATTAGCATAATCTTATTACTAAAAAAAAATCAAATTGCATTAATTTAATTTTTGTTTCACACTGAAAAAGTATTAGAAATATGAATCAAACTCGAGGCGCTTAAAAATTTAGTATTGTATGTGCTATATAATTAACAGTAATTCTTGCTGCGTATCCAAAAACGCTTTATTGTAGGACATACATTATGTCTAAACCGCGTCATAGATACCTATCTCTTAAGTAGATACTGCCATTTTACTAATATCGCCTTGAATTTACTTTCATGACAAATATAGAATTAATTTGTTTTCACCAGATACATTTAAAAAACTAAAATGTTACTGATTTTGATATGCAACCTAACCTCAAAATTGAAAATTTATAAAACAGTTATAAAAGTTTAAAAAAACATTTGTTTAAAGTCTGTGTAAATGTGTAGTAACTGTTCGGTAACTGTATTCAACAAATCTTATAGAATTTACAAAAGAACCAAATAGTTCTGTAATACTGCGCCCATTTTGTGTTTATTACTGTTGAAAGAATGTTCCGGAAATGTTCTTAGCTAATATTCTATTTTATAAATTTGGTTCTGTAAACATTTTTTCAGCTTTTATAAAATATCAAATTGTTACTTGGGTTATTCTGGAAGTGCTGTATTATTTCAGTGTTACTCTTACTGCTTGATGCTATGTAAGTCAAGACTCATTTGAATATTCCTTCTAATCAGCCAATACATTTTTTTGTCTTATTAATAGGTCTTTTTTGACGTGGGCTCTCCAGCACATCCAAAGTAATACCCAATTATTTTGCTATATCCGCGTAGGATACTGGGGTATCATTAAGTACTTCCTTCTATTTGTTAAATTTATATGGACATATTTAGTTTCATTTCGTTTAATTTGCTAACATTCCGTCCAATCACTGAAATTTTCTAGCGGCATCTTGATGATCTTTTCCTACTGCCACGATGGCAGTGTCATCTGCAAAGATGTCTATTGTATTATTTTCTAGTTTCATAGTATCACTGGTGTATAGTACTCCCAATACACTTCCTTGTAGTACTCTTACTTTGATTTATTTTAGTTCACAGTAAATTTCTTTCTACTTTATGCTAAATGATCTATCTATAATAATTGCAATAATGTATTGTTTGGGACATGACAGTAATAAGTAATTTATATTTAAGTTCCTCGTGCCATATTTTGTCGAAAGCTTGCGCTTACGACTAAGAAGATAGTAGAGCAAACTTTTCTTTCTTCTAATGATTTTTTCTATAGATAGATAGACTTGGTCAATGGTCAAATGTTTTTTCTAAAGCCAAACTGATGTGTCGGAATTAATTTTTTTCTTCAATGATGAATTTTAATCTCTCCAGAAATATTTTTGAAATAGTTTGGAAATTAGAGGAAGTAAAGATGATACTTCATTTTGTGGTTTGCCCGGTTTAGGCATCATTATTTCCTCGGCCACTTTCCTTTGGTTATTTAGGTTTTTTAAATATTTTTATCAGATATTTATTATCTTCTGTTTAATAAAAGATTAAAATAACCTACTACTACACCTAGTACTTGCTACTTTCCATCTTTGCCGACACTTATTGAATTCTTTGCATCCGATGCGGTAGTCGAGTTCGTCTATATCGGTTTATCTCAGCAAGGTAGAGAAAGATAATAAATTGGACTACCTACTGTAATTTATATTGAGGCATATTTTATATTGATTTTTTTTTTGGAACATCTTCAAGGTACCATTCCGGTAGCCGCGTCAGGAGGCAGGAGGCCACTGAGGAGACCAGTAGGACGACAGATGCATAAATGTTACGCTCCATAAATTTTGGAAGCTTGAAGAAGTGTGGCGCGACACTTGCAAATAACCATTTGAGGGAACGATCAGCGTTGCCAGATCTACTGTTTTTACGTAGATCCTGTATTTTTGTTTCTAGTAAATTTTGTTCTTAATTTATTAAGTTTGCCTCATTCTTCAGCAAATGTTTAAAGAATATTTTCTCTAGTAAATTTTCTGCAGTAAAAGCAGCGTAATAAGCATCCACTACTGTAGGTTGGCTCCATAAAAAACACATCAGGATAATCATTGTTTTTATTTAAAATGAAACAAAGAATTAATAGGGCATCATAAAAAGAACGTGCATATGCCAAACATTACGATTTTGAATTATCTGATTCAGACTGATCTAAAAGAAGTAGGTACTTATTATTTTTCATTCGTTTTTTTCCCATACGTTAAGTAGATAATAAAAATGTTTTTATTTGTTTTTATTCTTTGTTTACTTTCTAATTTGGGTAGAAAAAAGTTTATTTTTCGTTTCTTATATACTTGTTTTTTATTTACTACACTGCAAATTATAATTATTTCCCCCTGTATTAAAATCTACTGTTCAGATCTACGGTTTTTTTTACCCATACTGTTCCAAAATCTGGCAACGCTGCCTAGATCGAAAGAAATTTCCGAGGACAGTGACCCCGAGACAGATTCAGAAGTGTCGACAGGAAGTGTCATCTTGACGACACTTCTCGTGTCGCGCCGTGCGAAATGTGTTTCATATAATTGTATGTATTTTAGATGTAAAGCGACACTTCTCGGTCGCGTCGGCGGTCGTATGTCGCGTCGGCGGTCGTCTGTCGCGCCTACCGAAATGGTACCTTCAAACTGAAGCTGATATTTTGTGTTTCATTATTGTTGACTTATTCTGTAATACAACTATGCCTAAACATATTTTTAAAGTCCTTAAAATTTTTGTGACAACCTTGTTTGCTTGTCTAGAACACAATTAAAAATATCGAGGAAATAAGCAATAAACGGACACCCGGTTAACACTATATGCAAAAAGGAATAAAATTCAACCACTTTTTTGTTTGTTATTTGGACTAAAAATTATTTTACATTTTCAGGATTTATCTTGGAAGAAACTCTAGAAATATTTGTAGAAGGGATGAACTCATATTTGCGAAATTTGTGGAATTTCATAGATTTTACTAGGAATGTTCTATACACAGCCGTATTTTTTCTTCGTGTGGTATCATATTTTCAACAAGCAGCAGAGATTCGAAACGATCCAACTACAGCTTATATAAGAAGGGAGGACTGGTATGCTTTCGATCCCCAACTAATTGCTGAAGGTTTATTCGCAGCTGCAAATATTTTTAGGTATAGTTAAAACGAAATACATACTCGTATATAGGTGTAGATATAGTACAGTAAATACCTACTGTTAAAAATGTATGTTTACAAGAAATGGAGGTATCTAAACAGTTTTGAAATCAATTTGGTGAAGCTGTTAATCTTCATTCTCGATACGTAGTATACTTTTGGGTTATTCGGTGAGTCATTTAATTTAATTTCTTAAGCTACAGAATATACCTTATATTTTTCACTTCAAAGAAAAACAATCACAGAAGATCGTCTTATCAGACTCTTCTGATTTTCCACAAACAAAGGACCCCGCAATAATCTTATGGAAATTGGGTTTCTGTCAAATTATCTGAATTTTTAATATGTTGTAGATTTTGTCATCCTGAACAAAAGTCTTAATGGGCACAAAGTACCAAAATGAATATTTTGGCAGCTACGGAGCTGCCAAAGCTCCCCTGACCCGTTGAAAAACTATTCATTTTTAATACTATTTACAGATGTCAAAAGCATATTTTAATTATTCTAGTATATAGGGTAATGTTTTTGAGGTCACTGGATTCAACCCTCATGTCAGATTTGACAAATTGACCGTTGACAGCTGTCAATTCACTGTCAACGAGGAATATAAAAGTAAATATCCTATTTTCACATTGAGGGTTTGGGTTTTTGAGGTTGCTGAATTCAATTCTCATGTTAGATTGGACAAATTGACAGTTGACAGCTATCAGTTCACGGTCAACGAGGAATATAAAAGTAAATATCCTCCTTTCACATTGAGAGTTTGGGTTTTTGAGGTCGCTGAATTCAATTCTCATGTCATATTGGACAAACTGATCGTTGACAGCTGTCAATTCACGGTCAACGAGGAATATAAAAGTAAATATCCTCTTTTCACATTGAGAGTTTGGGTTTTTGAGGTCACTGAATTGACAGTTGACAGCTGTCAACTGTCAGTTTGTCCAATCTGATATGAGAATTGAATTCAGCGATCACAAAAACCTAAACTCTTAATGTGAAAAGAGGATATTTACTTTTATATTCCTCGTTGACAGTGAATTGACAGCTGTCAACTGTCAATTTGTCCAATCTGACATGAGGATTGAATCCAGTGACCTCAAAAACATTACCCTATATATTAGAATAATTAAAATATGCTTTTGACATCTGTAAATAATATGAAAATGAATAGTTTTGCAACGGGCCAGGGGAGCTTTGGCAGCTCCGTAGCTGCCAAAATAATCATTTTGGCACTTTGTGCACAAAAAGACTTTTGTTCAGGATGACAAAATCTACAACATATCAAAAATTTAGACAATTTGACAAAAACCCAATTTCCATAAGATTATTGCGGGATCCTTTAGGTTTCGAAGGTATTTTTTTGCAGCAACCTCTTTAACTAATATGTATGATCGCTTTTTGTTAGCTATCACTCCTGAGGGGCTATTTTCAAACTCGAGAGAATTCATTTCTCTCAAGAAAAATGTCATATGTCAACGTAAAACAGTATTTTAAGGGCCCTTAGGGCCAGTGCAAACTCACTGACTGTTTCTCTCGGTTTATTTAGAGATAATTAAAATTTTCCTTAGAATTTTAGTCTCCGAGGCCTTTAAAAACAGCGTTTCCACATTGACATATGACATTTCTGATGATAATCTTGAGAGAAATGAGTGCTCCCATACTTTGAAATTAGCCCCCCAGGTATCCTATGCTCAAACTCATGAGAGCAGTCCTACAGAGGGTTGCCAATCTGTGAGTAATTTACTACTTTGTTAGTAATTTTGTGAATAAAGGGCAATATGTGAGTAATCGGGAAGTCAGCATAGGGATATTCTTAGTAGTTATGCAAAATTCTGATTGGATAATTTATTGAAACCGTTTGATTTATAAATATCTTAATATAAGCCTAATTTTACGCCCTCTATCACTTCTAGCAATCATTACAATTTTGTAGTTTTAAAATTGCAGCGGCCTCTATTGTTTGGCCAATATAAAAGAATAAATGTGGTTTTATTATTGCATATTGCAAATTACAATACTAGAAGTCGTGTCGACAGTCATAGTCCTATTGGGACTCTCTCCCAATCGTCGATTATTACCGATTATGATTAAGAAAATCTTTTTTTGTTCATTTTGAAAGTACCTATATTTTTGTATTAGTAGATTTTTTCAGATATTAGAATTAATGATTTATTGTATTTTTGCTCGTTATTAAAAAAGATACTCTAATTCTCTAGTCCTTTTTATCTGTTTTTTTTTTTCACAGAAAAAAGATGCATCTATTTTGACTGTTGTGGGTAGTAAAATATTATCAAATAGAAGTGCAGAAGTACATAATATACGATTTATTTAAAAAAAAAAACTATTAAAATTGATATTTTGAAGTTGTGAGTAATTGTGAATGATCCGGAAAAGTTTTTGAGAGTAAATCGGCAAAGACCGCTTGGCAACCCTACTCCTACACTCTGCTACTCGACGGCGAGTAGCAGACTGCTCCAGCACCAGTGTTGCCAGATAGAAAAAATCAAATTTTGCAATGCTCTAGAAATTATCTTTCCTTTTTTCTCATAATTTTATCGTACGAAACTGACCTTCTAGTGTGACGTTATCGGAGGCTAGTTAATTTAAGAGTTTATGGGATTAGGGTAATTAAATAATAATTTTATTGAATAAATTTATATAAAAAAAAAAAAAAAGAAAAATAACCTATTCTTGTTCATCTAAACTTTCAAAAATAATTTATTTTTCTTGTAATTACATAATTCTTTCTGATTTTGATCTCCCAATTGTGTTTGTCTATACATTTTTAAAGCGGCTTCCTGAACTGCGGAAAAGATAATCCGGTTCTATAATCCGACACCCGAATTGCGGAAACAAAATAGTTTGACCTGGTCTGTACAATCTAAAACACCCGAACTGCGGAAACTAGTCTGCGAAATAATGGTAGCGTATAGAAAAGAAAAAAAACGACCAGATACAATTTGAAATTCAATTTTATTTATTAATGAAATATGTAACCAATAAATTACAGTGAAACAATACTACCAAATTTGTAAGAGCCACAGAGTCATACCTATTTATTTGATTATTATTAGAAAATTTTAGATTCAATATATTTTTGTTTATTTAAAACTTCGCTTCTCTGTAGCTTCGTCTCATGTTTTAACACAGAGTTAATTCTTATATTCGCGATTCAAGCTAAGTGATACGCCCTCTGGAGGAAATTAGTAGAAGGTCCCTATAAGTAGGATGACGTTCAGTGTTGCCAGAAGCAGCAAAATTTCGTTACGTCGTCGGATTTTAGTTCTTGAATAGTCTAGTAATATGTAATCATACTTTTATTTAAGGATTTTTTTATAAAATCGATTTATTATATTGATTTTTTTTAAAATTTCAGTTCATTTATTAATTTCAGTTTTAAAATCAGACAGAGACAAAATCAGTTCATCATTTGGCAACATCGGCATTCGTGTTCATTGTTTACATTTTAATTTGTATCAATTACAATTAGAGTTTTTTGTTACTTTTTAGCTTTAAATTTGTTTATTTCTTATAGTATGTGATAGTATTTAAATTAAAAATGAAATCTGCGAAAAAGCCTCCAGCAAATTGCAATGTATATGGTGTTATTGTCAAAATCAAAACTGAAGTACCTATTCATTATTTTTCAAGTGCAAGTCATAAAATTTTGTTTCTTACGATAAATGGTATCTACAAATTCACAATATTGAAATTTTGCAAGACGTTGTTTAGAATCAAACTCCAATATGAGTTGTGACGGTTTTATTACCATTTACATGTTTACATGTATACAAAGTACTACACAATTCACTTCATGATATAAGAATAAGGATAGTAAGATTTTTAAAGAAGTTCATCAATAATAAACGTTTGGTACCTGATATGTCCTTTAAACCACATAATAAAACATGTCCTGGGTTTAGTAAATACATATTTCTAGATGTTCTTGTAGCAACCAATAGGTCAATATTTCCAACAAATTAGTTCATACTACACATGAAAAATATTACATTTATAACGAAAGCACGAAAACTAAACTTAAATTTACACTAAATGAAACTCAAAAACACTATTATAATAAGAATTATCTAAAAACAGTTAAAAAATCACAAATACAAAATCCCACAACACGTAAATAAACAAACATCCTACTTATACGTGACAAATGACAGGCCGCGAAAATTAATTTGAATCGCGAATAGGTGCCGGTCTGCATATTAATTACCGACTTTAAAAAATATGAATATTTGGATGTGGAGAGGGACAATAGGCACTAAATTTGGAGTGAAATGACTCGCATGTATTGGTATTTCTACAAGTAGAAGAAGTTTTAGCTGCCCATATTTTGGGTGAAGACAGCCCAAATATAGGATGCAGCCATCTTCCAATAGTTTAATTAATTTCTTTATATTCTGTGCTCAGACCAAGTTGTATTTTGCGCCACCTAAAAAACGTTGTGAAAAGAAAACAACTAAAAATAAACCCTTTTTGATTTTAAAATCAATATAATATAATGAACGTCTCCACTTTTCCCACGTGTCTGATTGATCAAATACATAGCAGTGTCGTCCATTTAACCCATAGACCGTGTTCGCAGTTTGAGTTAGGGATGATTATAGGGGAGAGTTGGACAAAACAGGATAGACGAATAAAACGGGATATCGGCAAATATGTATGAATACGCAGCGCTATCTAACGAGTCGTGGCGTTAATCACTATAAATAACGTTTGCTTGAATGTAGGAAGTGTTCATTCTCATTAACTGCTGTTCAGTAGTGAGTGACAACGGCAGTTTGAAAAAGTGAGGTTATACTATTTAGTTTTATTAGCGGTTAATTTAGTGTTTCTTATTTTAAACAAGCAAAATAAATAACGTTGAGTATTTTTTGTAATTTTGTAGATAATTGACTGTATTTTGCTACATTTGTGATTACAACTATTTTTTTTTTGTGAAAAACTTTGAAAAGCATTTTGGAATGTGCAGTTGGGCAAAATGG